GCGTGGACCAGGGCTGGGCCCTGTCACCTTCCCTCGTCCTCTCCTCCTCCACCGCGAGGGCCGCCTGTCTCTCTGAAGCTGCAGATCCTCTTCCCAAGGGACTGGAGCCTCTTGTTCCCAGTCTACTTGAGTCTGCGAGGGTCCTGCCCAATCCAGTGACCCGCACAAGAAAACCAGCTGTTCCAGCATCCACCAGCAGATGGCGACAGGGGCCGCGGGTGGCTGACCCTGGGTTCCTAGGACAGCAGCTTTGCTACTGGGAGGCCGAGGCCGAGCTGGGTGCCGGTTTCCAGCCACCTCAGCAGGAGGGGGGACCAGGACAATGAGAGTTCATTGAACATCTGCCTGCCCAGGTCTGGCCATCTGATCTACCCCAGCTCCACTCTGTCCAGTCTTCCATGACCCCTGGAGGCCGAGCAGGCAGTGGGCAGACAAGCAGGGGCAGGCTGGGATGGAGCCGAGTGGAGGCAGGTGCACAGTCCGGAGTTGCAGCATGGGAGGTGCTGGAATGAGGTGGCGGGGCACCAGGTAGGATCGGGCTGGACACACTGGGTCCAGGCCAGGCACAGGCAGCAGGTCCTGCCTTCGGCTGTGTCGCTACAGCCTCTCCCTGCTCCCACACACACAGCTCCTCAGCCCCTTGGAGACACCCATTCCCTCCGTGGGGGCTTGGCCCCCTGGGGTGCCTGGCTCCTTTGCAGAATTCGCTCTGAGTCACTGCCACTCTCCCCAGCTGCAGGTTCAGCCAAGCAGGGGCTGAAAGTGAAACAAGATTGCTGGACCCAGCGTGGACAGGCTGCTTCCTTGTCACCTTTCCTAAAGAGCGCAATGTGAACAGCACCAGTGCATAGCGTTTCTGCTGTGTCCCGTATCAAGAAGAGTCTGGGGCCAGCGCTGTGGCGGAGCGGGTAAAGCCGCCACCTGCAGTGCCGGCATCCCATATGGGTGCCGGTTCAAGACCCAGCTGCTCCTCTTCTGATCCAGCTCTCTGCTATGGCCTGGGAAGGCAGTGGAGGATGGCCCAAGTCCTTGGGGCCCTGCACCCATGTGGGAGACCTGGAGGAAGCTCCTGGCTCCTGGCTCTGGCTTCGGATCAGCGCAGCTCCGGCTGTTGCGGCAGGGTCTTGAGCGTCTGTGGATCCGGTTATTTCGAGGGGTCCTGCGACTTTATGAGCAGCTGCAGAGATCAGGAGGGGTCTGAGAGAGGGCGGGGCAGTGGGGGGATGAAGGAGAAAGGTGAAAGGAGTCAGGCTGCCGGCGCTGCGGCTCACTAGGCTAATCCTCCGCCTTGCGGCGCCGGCACACGGGTTCTAGTCCCTGGTCGGGGCGCCGGATTCTGTCCCGGTTGCCCCTCTTCCAGGCCAGCTCTCTGCTGTGGCCCGGGAGTGCAGTGGAGGATGGCCCAGGTGCTTGGGCCCTGCACCTGCATGGGAGACCAGGAGAAGTACCTGGCTCCTGCCGGCCACGGCGGCCATTGGAGGGTGAACCAACGGCAAAAGGAAGACCTTTTTCTCTGTCTCTCTCTCTCACTGTCCACTCTGCCTGTCAAAAAAAAAAAAAAAAAAAAAAAAAGGAGTCGGGCTGATAGTGGGTAGGGGGCGGCTTTTGCCACAGAGGCACAGTGGGCTTCGTGTTTACGTTTTTTTTTTTTTTTTTTTTTTTTTTTGAGATTTAAAAGGATTGATTCGAGGCAAAGACCTCCAGCTGCAGGGGCACGGAGAGGGGGGCTTCCGAGAGAGGAAAGAACCGTGGCACTGGGGTTTTTAAGGACAATTTCAAAGGAAAAAAAACCTTGACAATCAGACTGTCATTCAGTTATGAGGCAGGTGGAGACAAAACCCATGCCAAAGACCCGATTTACGATCCTTTATCCTCAGATAGAACACACAGAAACCCAGAAGGTGGGACACTTGTTTTCACAATAAACCGTGAGCTCACACGCAATCACCACTCCCTTGCTGGATTTGGAAACTCCCGAGGAAGCGGACAGTTTTGTTCTCAGCTCCTGTTTACTTTTTAAGAAATGTAGCCAGGGGTCGGCGCTGTGGCGTAGCAGGTAAAGCAGCCGCCTGCAGTGCCAGCATCCCATATGGGTGCCGGTTCCAGACCCGGCTGCTCCACTTCCCATCCAGCTCTCTGCTGTGGCCTGGGAAAGCAGTAGAAGATGGTCCAAGTCCTTGGGCCCCTGCACCCACGTGGGAGACCTGAAGGAAGCGCCTGGCTCCTGGCTTTGGATCAGCGCAGCTCTGGCCGTTGTGGCCATTTAGGGAGTGAACAGCGGATGAAAGATCTCTCTCTCTCTCTTTCTCTCTCTCTCTCTGCCTTTCCCTCTCTCTCTCTGTAACTCTGCCTTTCAGATAAATGAATAAATCTTTTTTGCCGATCCGAAGCCAGGAGCCAGGAGCTTCTTCCAGGTCTCCCAGGTAGGGGCAGGGGCCCAAGGACTTGGGCCATCTTTTGTTCTCCCAGGCCACAGCAGAGAGCTGGATTGGAAGAGGAGCAGCCAGGACTGGACTAGAACTGGCGCCCATATGGGATGCTGGTGCTTCAGGCCAGGGCGTTAACCCACTGTGCCACAGCGCCGGCCCCAAATGAAGAAATCTTTAAAAAAATTTTTTAGCCAGGGAGTGGGCATTTGATGTGGCAGTTAAGATGGTGGTTGGGTCTCTGCTAATGCACCTGAGAAAGCAGTGGGAGATGACCCAAGTGCCTGGGCTCCTGCACCACGTGGGAGACCCGGATGGAGCTGGCTCCAGGCTTTGGCCTGACCCAGCCCCAGCTAAGCAGCCTCTTGGGGAGTGAACCAGCAGATGGAAGCTCGCTCTCTCTCTCTCTCTCTCTCTCTCTGCCTTTCAAATAAATAGGTAATTCTCTTTTGTTTTTTAAAGATGCTGCTTCAAGCTCTGGGGTCGGAGTCCTGGTTCCGCTCCCAGCTCCAGCTGCCTGCTAACGCACACCCTGGGGCGGGCGGTCAACGTCAGTGAAATGGCACTGGCTGCCTAAGCCCAGCCTGGCTTCCTAGAAGTCAGGTGACCCAGGGGCCCCATCGCAAGTGCCAGCTCCACCCCCACCCTAAGGGATTTGCCCTCCCACTTCCTCGCCTGGGCAAAGCCGTGTCAGACCTGCTCTCCAGGGCAGGCGGCCGTTATTTCTGTGCGCGGGGAGGGGGAGGCAGCCTGTCGGGTTTCCCCCACTCGACAGTAAACCTTTTCGCTTACCCCGGTGTTTGGTGTGTTTTGTGGCGGCCTTTCCTTGCAGTGATGGCTCAGGCAGGTGGGTCGCCGCCACCCACGCGGGAGCCCTGGGCAGTTTCTCAACCTCCTCCTCCGGCCTTGGGCCCCGCCGTGGTCATGTGGGCGTTTGGGGAGTGAACCAGCAGATGGGAAATCTCCCTCTCTGCATTCCAAATAAGTAAATAAATAACAATGCAAAAATATAGCTACACCTTAACGTAACATTTATCCGCTTAAGTGTGTATTTCAATCATTTTTAATAAATTCACAGAGATTTGCAGCTATTACCAGAACTCAACTTTAGAATATTTTCTCAAACTTTCTTTTGATGGTATGTCCCAGTGAGTTTATCCTTAAAGACACGGAATCAGGTGTTGTGGTGAAGCCGCTGTGGTGCCGGCATCCCATATGAGTGCTGGTTCGAGTCCCGGCTGCTCCACTTCTGATCCAGCTCCCTGCCTGATGCGCCTGGGAAAGCAGCGGAAGATGGCCAAGTCTCTGGGCTCCTGCCACCCATGTGGGAGACACAGATGGCGTCCCAGGCGCCTGGTCCTGCCTTGGCCACTGTGGCCATCTGGGGAGTGAACCAGCAAATGAAGATCTCTCTCTGCCTTTCAAAAACAACAACAAAAAACAAACCAGGATCTCATTTGAGCCCTGTTATCAGCAACACCTATTTTGTGGGTCTGGGAGCTGTCTGGTTTTGCTGGCAGGCGTTCGTGTGTATGTGTGTGTGTGTGTGTGCGCGCGCACCGGACGTCGAAAGCCCCGAGTTACTGGGTGCTCGGTTCCACAGGTGCTGCTGCGGCGTCTCTTCCTTCTGGAACATAGTAAGAGGCTCAGGGAGTGGAGCCCAGGACGCGCTGGGACTCAGGAAACCAGAGGAAGGGGAGGAGGCGGAACTGTGCCTCGTCCAGGCAATCCGCTCGCTCGGCCTGCGCTGCGCTCACCGGCTGCCTGCGAGCGGGACCCTTCCTTCCACAGCTGGCCCTGGCCTGGCTCCGGCTTTGCCTCCCGCACCGTTAGAATCACATATTCTCCAGCTTCGGGAAGTGTCTGTGGGGAGAGGGGGGTGGTGGGGTGCAGATGGCTGGGGCAGGGGCTGGTGGGGGAGGGGGCGTCTACCTTCCCCAGTTTGTCCCTTGGTGGTGAGGGGGCAGACACTCATGCGCTCCAGCTCAGGGTCACCCACGCCCCTCCAGCCGATCCTGCGGTGAATCGAGGAGAGGAATCAGAGCTGGGAGGCAGCGTGGGCAGTGGCAGCGTGTCGGGGCGGTGGGAGTGGGCTCCCTGGCCACAGCGGAGCCCCCTGAGGGTCCCCATGGGTGCCCTGATCCCAGTGACTGTGACGAGGGAAAGTGGCGAGGCCCTTGGTCCAGGTGGAGCCCGGAGCAAGCCGACAGGTGGGTGGTCCCCTCTTCCACCCCCCACCCCCGCCCCGCTGAGTTTCTCAGGTCTCTGCCCATCAGGCCCAGGCTCCCATGAAGGGAACAGGGCCTACGTGGCGCAGGGGCCCTGTGATGCAGAAGCTGGGGACGGCTCAGGCCAGGACCCCAGGGTCTGCAGCTTCCCCTCCATCTGTCTTGACCACGGCACACTTGGGACCAAGGAGGCCAGCGTGCCGCAGCCAGCGTGACCGCTGGGGTGCACTGGGACCCGGATTCGCCAAGCTGCCTCGGTCCTGGAGGGTGGCCTGGGCTGGGGGAGCGTCTCCAGAGATCGGAGGGTGAGGCGTGGGCAGTGCCCGGGAGGCCCGCAGACCCACAGGCCAGCAGCTGGCATCCCTCGGGCCCCTGGGGAAGAAAGCAGCCCCTCCCAGTCCTCAGGGTGCGCTGCCCCCCACCCCGGCCTGCTTCTCACTCAGGCTCGGGTCTGTTGGCCTTGGGGACCTGGGAGGTGCGCATGAAGCAGGTGCTCACTCCGCGGGGGGTGGGCCCCAGGTTTGCAGCAGGAGCTCACCCAGGACCCACTGCGGGGAGCACCGTGCTGCAGGCACAGCCCCTGGGCCACCCGGCAGCCACACCCACGGGGCTCAGAATCCCCAGGGGTCTCAGTCGGCTGCCGGCCACGATGCACCCTCGGCTTCCTCCATTTTCTGCTCAGCCCTGGTTCAAGACCGAAAAGAAGTTGAACAAGGAAGCTGATGGCTCAAAGAAAAGCGGAAGTGGGGCCACAGCCTGCAGTCGTGCAGGAGCCCGGTACGGCTGCGGGAGCCGCCTGTGTGGGAGGAATGACCCCGCGGGGCCGGGCCATGGGGCTGCCGTCAGCTCTGCTGCTTCTCTGGGTCCCAGGTGAGGACTCTCTGCCTGGGGGGCGTCTACGGGGGGTGGGGGGGGAGGGAGGGTGCAAGAGCTGGGGGAGCAGGCTGTCACACGGGGCACCCAAGCCTGGGATCTGTGCTGGACGTAGAATGGGGCATGCTGTGACGGACAGACAGAAAGACCCCAGCCCTGGGGGGAGAAGGGTGAGGGTCTCTCCGTCCTCGGCACCCATCTGCCTTTGGATGAGCCACAGAGGGGCACAGAGGAGGGGTACGTGCGAGGATTTGTGGCGGGTGAGTGTCAGAAGGAAGGGGACCAGTGTCAGAGGCAGGAAGTTCCAGAGGGCGGAGGATGGCCACACGGAGCACACCTGTGGGCGCCAGGTGGCCTCACTGGATTGCGGGTGTAGACGGAGGGTGGGGACGGGGGTGGTGGAGCTGGCGTCGGGCTCGGAGACCGGAGACTCAGCCAGGAAAACTCAAGGGCTGAGCCGGAGCCGGGAGGAACCTCCTGGGGTTGGCCAGTGGCAGCTCACCTCCACGGGACCTCCAAGGAGGGGAGCTGGGAGCTCCTAGAGGAGAGAGGGCGGGGGAGCGGGGAGGGAGGGGACTTGGTCTGCAAGGAACCGCGGGGCTTCGGCTTCCCGTGCCAGGGCGAGGTTTGGCCTCCATCTGGTTAGGCTGTCTTGGGGTAGTTTGTCTTTTGGGCCACTTTTCTTAGAAATCGTGTGCTTCCTCTATTATGAAGACGCTGGCTGTCCGTGGGAGAGCGCTGACTTTCTGTGGGTTCATTAACTCTGCTCGGTGGCACCTTACGCCCCGGCTTTGTATCTGTTTGGGAAAATGGCAGATGCAAACCTTGGAAATAAAATATGAGCTTCCTGGGAGAGTGAGATTGCAAGGCCTGTGCCCGTGAGGGTAGGGCCGGGGTGGGGGTGGGGTGGGCACGGGAGGCCCTCGGAGACCTCTGGGAGCCACAGGCTGCAAGTGTGCCTGGTGCTCCTGTCAATCGCTCGGATGCCCCGTGTCTGCCCTGCTTGGGGCCCAGCAGGGTGGGGCTGGGTGCAGCTGCCCGGGATGCTCAGGGCTGGGGTGGCCGTCCCCAGAGCCGGTGGCCTGGGGGTGACGTCTTCTGGTGCTGTAAGTGTGGGAGCAGGAGGCCCCTGGTGGGAAGACGGGGTTGGAGGAAGGGACCCCGCTGTGATCAAAGTCGGGGTGGCCGAGTGCAGGCAAAGGTGTCGAAGCTGCGAGTCAGCTGACCAGACGGAGGTGCAGGAAGGAGTGGGGGGCCCAGGGCTGGGGCCTGAGGAGGTGACCCCGGGGCGCCCAGCCCCAACCCACCTGGGGACTTGGGCTTGTGTCTTCCAGGCTGTTTCTGTCTGAGCGGCCCCAGCACTGTGAGCGGCACCGAGGGGGGATCCCTGAGCGTGCAGTGCCGGTACCAGGAAGAACACAGGACGCGGGCCAAATTCTGGTGCAGTCACCCGTGTTTGCCAGAACAGGAGATCGTGAAGACAAAACTGCCAGAGGTAGAAGCGCGGAGCGGCCGAGTGTCCATCAGGGACCATCCTGCAAACCTCACCTTCACCGTGACCTTGGAGAACCTCAGCATCGAGGACGCGGGCACATACCAGTGTGGGGTGGATGAGCCATGGAAGCGGGACACCTTCTTCCTGGTGACGGTGTGCGTGTCCCCAGGTGAGTCCCCTCGCCCCAGCACCAGGGCTGCCCTGCCGAAGGCACCTGGAACAGGAATCAGATCAGAGACTTGGAGCAAACTGTGGGGTGGGGGTGGCGTGGGGCCGAGGAGGGACAGGGCCAGGGAGGCCGCAGCTGCCATCTCGGACAGCACAGTTACACCGAAGGTGCCTGCGAATCAGCCCGGAAGCCCAGAGCTGTGTGGGGCGGGGGCAAGGTGCTGTGTGCAGGAGCGGCTGAAGCAGGTGACGAGTCAGACAGGCTGTGGAACAGACGGCTCCGGCAGCGTGTGGCTGCAGCCAGAGGGGACAAGGCGGGGCGCGGGGAGGTGACTGGGGACTTGATGACAGCTCCTGCCCCCGCCCCCACCCCAGCGGCTCAGGACGGCTCACCAGGTGCAGCAGGATCCTGGGAAGCCCCCCCCGCCCCGGGGGTCCCCATCTGGCTCCCTTCCCGAGAGAGCACTGTGTGTGAAATCAAACCCTGCAGTGGGCGGGTCACAGGAGGGACCCCGGTCTGATTTGTGGTTTTGCCACCAGCACCGACGACGTCACCAACACCTGCAGGTGTCACTGCAGCCAAGACTGTGACCACCACAGCGCAGGTTTCAGCTGTGTCGTCCACCACGCTGGCCCCTGTCACAACAAGCAGCCAGGAGGACTCCCAGTGGGGCCCCGGCCCCGGGTAAGGCTCCTGGCCCCGACCCACGACCGCCTCCTTCCTCCCGTGGCCGGCTTAGGCTCCAGCTCTTCGGCCATGGGGTCCAACTGGGGTGAGAGTCGTAGCCCTGTGCTGGGGGCCTTGGGCGCCCTTTGCTCCGGGCTCAGGTTAGGAACTGAAGTCTGTCCTCTCCTGGCCTGTGGAGGCCACACTGGACACCCTCGGGGGGTGGGGGACGTCCCCCAGCCTGTGCTTTCCCCTTTGCCCCTCACTGCCATCCACACCATCATTGTGCCCATTTTTCAGATGCGTAGACCAAGGCACAGACAGGTTCAGGTTCAGCATAGCTCCGAGTAGCAAGGTCACCCAAAGTCTGGAGTTCTGCTCTCTGAATAGTGGTTCTTAGCATCTCCTGGGGTCACCAACCCCACAGAGAATCTGGTGGCATCTGGAGACCCACTCCCCAGGAAAACACGTGCAGACATGAACTGTGTTCAGGCTCCAGAGGTTCCCCATTCTTTTTTTTTTTTTTTTTTTTTTTGACAGGCAGAGCGGACCGTGAGAGAGACAGAGAGAAAGGTCTTTCTTTTGCCATTGGTTCACCCTCCAATGGCCAGCACAGCCGGCGCACCATGCCTATCTGAAGGTAGAAGCCAGGTGCTTCTCCTGGTCTCCCATTGGGTACAGGGCCCAAGCACTTGGGCCCTCATCCTCCACTGCACTCCCTGGCCACAGCAGAGAGCTGGCCTGGAAGAGGGGCAACTGGGACAGAATCCGGCACCCCAACGGGGACTAGAACCCGGTGTGCCAGCGCCGCAGGCAGAGGATTAGCCTAGTGAGCCGTGGCGCTGGCCGAGGTTCCCCATTCTGACACCTGCTTGGCACTGCCGTGAGTTCTGGCACCGCCCACTGGGGAGTGCCGGAGACCCCACCGTTTAAGGGCTCCGACCTTCCTAAGACCCCACTTAGGGACCCCCAGGCCACTGCACACTTGATCCATTAGCTACAAATTTGGGGGTTCCTGTGACCCCTTTGAGTTAATTAATTCCCTGGATTCAGAGGTCTGGAAAATGGAATTAAAATATAAGTTCATTTTGACACAAAAAATTTAAATGCATGCATAGTTTTTTCACAATGCACATTTTCTGTGAACTTTGAAAAAACAAACTCACTTTTTAATTCAATTTTTCCTTGAGGCTTTAAAAAGATTTGTTTATTTATTTATTTGAAAGGCAGAGTGACAGATCAGAGAGAGAGGGAGAGACACAGAGGAATCTTCCATCCGCTGGTGCACTCTCCAAATGCCCACGTCAGCCAGGGCTGGGCCGGGCCGGAGCCAGGAGCTGGGAACTCCATCCAGGTCTCTCGTATGAGTGGCAGCTAAGACTCAAACAGGCGCTCCGGCGTGGGATGGGGGTCCCAGGTCGTGGTTTAACCTGCTGCACCAGAATGCCTGCCCCCGTGTGAACTGTATGGTTTTACAGTTTTTCTGCACCAAGATAAACTTACCTTTTCGTTTTATTTTCCATGAACTTTTTGTAGTGAGTCCATACATTTATATTTGCTTGTGTAGCAATAAAATGTCTCTGGAAGATTCTAAAGTACACCTCCTATGGGGGGGGTTGATTGTAGAAAGGAGATCATACCAACTATTTTTTTAATTATTTGCTATTTATTTGAGAGAGAGAGAGAGAGAGAGAGAGATGAGGCAGGGTGCTCTTACTCCTGTCTGTTGGTTGACTTCCTCATTCCCTAAATGCATGCAAAAGCTGGGGCTGCGCCAGGGCCAGAGCCAGGAGCCAGGAACTCAATCCAGGTGTCCCATGTAAGTGGCAGGGACCCGACTACTTGAGCCATCGCCTGCTGTCTTCCAAGGTGTGCGCTGGCAGGAAGCTGGAGCCAGGAGTCGGAGCTGGGAGCTGAACCCAGGGACTCCGATGTGGGGCACAGGCACTAGGCTAAAAGACTGCCCCCCATGTTGTTTTTGAACTTTGACCTTGTTTGTTTAAGAGGTGGAGGAAGGTGAGCTGCCTTCTCCCCCTCCCCCACCCCGTGCTGTCCCTCCAGGCTCCCCGTGACGCTCTCCTTGTTAGCGCTGTTGCTGCTTCTCTTGGCGGGCACCTCGCTGCTGGCCTGGAGGATACTTCGGAGACCCTGTCAAAGGTGAGTTCGCTCCCGCGCCCTCTGACCAACGGGCATCGGCCGCAGGCCCTCAGAGAACACGTCCCAGCTGACCCTAGAGGGCGGGTGCCCTGGCTCAGCCTGGGGGGTGGAGCACCCGAGAGGGGACGCACCTGCTGCAGGCCTGGAGGCGGCTGCCCCAGGAAGCAGTGCCCTCCGTGTTCCAAGCTTGCAGGACAGTCAAGGCCCTCCGCGGTCTGGCCCTGCCCGCCTCTCTCACCCCATCCTTGCACCTGGAAGGCACCTTCCAGTAACTTCTTGGCAACAGTGGCAAACTCGGTCTTTCCTTCTGGGTTTGCCCTGGTGTGTGGTGTGCCCGCTCCCCCGTGCTGCCTCTCTCTCTGGCTTGCTGCCCTCCTGCATGTCCCTCTGCCCCTCAGCTGTGGTGGCCTGTCCTTGTCACTGCCTGCCTTCCCACTGTCATGGGTGTTTGCTGATTCCTGTATTATTATGTAATATCTCTCAGCCACAGCGAATACACCCCCCCACCACACAAGCTCCAGGCATCCTTGTCACTTAGTCACCTCCCTCTGAGCAGAGAGAGCACACGCAGTGCACACGGCACCGTATCGGGAGTCAGGAAGTCAGTTCCGTGCTCAGTGAACATCCGATGGGCAAATTAAATGCGTGAAAGAAGGGAGGGGTGAGTGGGGGTGGGGCAGCAGGAGCCTGCACTCACCTGCAGAGGGGCGGCTTGCTGGCCCAGGTCCAGAGGGAGCCTTAGAAGTCTCCTCCTCCTTCTTCTTCTTCTTCTTCTTCTTCTTTTTTTTTTTTTTAAGATTTATTTATTTATTTGAAGGGCAGAGTTACAGAGAGGCAGAGGCAGAGAGAGAGAGGGAGAGAGAGGTCTCCTGTCCACTGGTTCACTCCCCCAGATGGCCGCAATGGCTGGAGCTGCGCCGATCTGAAGCCAGGAGCTTCCTCCGGGTCTCCCACATGGGTGCAGGGGCACAAGGAGTTGGGCCATCTTCTACTGCTTTCCCAGGCCATAGCAGAGAGCTGGGTCGAAAGTGGAGCAGCCAGGGCTTGAACCAGCGCCCATATGGGATCCTGGTGGGCAACGCAGGCTGTGGCTTTCCCCACGGCACCACAGCGCCGGCCCCTCCTCCCTGTTGGAAAAACTCAGGATTCTGTGGGTGCAGGAGCTCCAGGGAATACGCTCACAGGGAAGTCTTCAGGGTGGCTCTGGGGTGCAGGTGGGGCTGGAGGTTCTGCTGTGTGGCCGCAGGGCGCGGGGAGCCACTGCCCCCCATCCCTAATGCAGCCCCTCCCCCGTGGGGCTCAGCCTCAGCCCCTGGGGGCCCAGGCTTGGAGGGGGAGGCAGGGGTGAAGCCCAGCCTGTCTGAGCACAGCCCTCAGAAAGAAGCCCCCTTCCTCCACCCCCTCCTCCGTGCCCCGTCATTCTCTGGTTCCCTCCTCCCACATAACCACGCCGGCCACACGCTGGCTTCCCCAGCCCGGGCCTCTGCTCTGAGTCCCAGCAGTCCCCTCGGCTGCCCCTTCACCGAGAAGCTGTCGCTCAGAAAGGGAGATGTGGTCACCGTAGAAAATCTGAAAACCACGCGGAAGTGCCAAGGGGGGCATGGATCCCCGTGGTGACGGGGACTCCCGCCGCCGGAGGACACCAGCCACTACCGTTCGAGCCACTTCCTTCCAGGCTTTCCCCTGCCTGTGTGTGCACAAAAATTTTCTTTCTTTTTTCTTTTAAAGATTTATTTATTTATTTGAAAGTCAGAGTTACAGAGAGAGAGAGGTCTTCCATCCACTGGTTCACTCCCCAAATGGCCACAATGGCCGGAGCTGGGCAGATCTGAAGGCCAGGAGCCAGGAGCTTCTTCCAGGTCTCCCACGCAGGCATGGGGACCATCTTCCACCGCTTTCCCAGGCCATAGCAGGGAGCTGGATGAGAAGTGGAGCAGCCAGGACTGGCTCCCATATGGGATGCTGGCACTGCAGGTGGTGGCTTCACCCACTACGCCACAGCGCCGGGACCACAAAAGATTTCTTAAAACATTTGCTTCATACCCTGAGTCTGCTCTAAACCTGGTTCTTTGCACCTGTACCATTTCCCCTGCTCTTTTATTTATTTTAAAAGATTTATTTATTTACTTGAAAAGCAGAGTTACAGAAAGGGTGGGGGGCGGAGAGAGAGAGATCTTCCACCTGCTGGTTCACTCCCCAGACGGCTTCAATGGCTGGGTCTGAGCCAGGCTGAAGCGGAGAACTCCATCTGGGTCTCCTAGGTGGGGGCGGGGTCCACGCACGTGAACCACCTTCCGCTGCCTTCTCAGGCGCATCAGCAGGGTGCTGATGCTCAGATATGGGATGTTGGTGTCACTCTCCGCACCACAACCTGGGCCCCTCCCCCGCTCCTGCAGGCTCAGAAGCCGCATGTGCGGGCATGTGAGTGGGGTGTGGGTGGGGTGCGCTTTGTCTGATGGATCCTAAGTGACGTCTCTGTCCCCTGCTCTGTGAGTCCCAGCCCTGCCTCCTGACGCTGTCTGGGACTCCCTTCCCACTGCCCAGCTCCCCCACCCTAGTCCTGACGCCAGCTCATCCCACCCACCCCCAGCCCACTCACTCCATCCATGCATTATCCGCGCACTTGTCCACGCCTGCCACGTGAAGGCCCTAGGGACACGCTGGGGACCACCGCAGACTGGGCCCCGCCTGCAGCGAGCCGCTCACAAACCTTCTCACAGCCACCTTCCTCCCCAGCATGCGACTTCCATCTCCTCCCCACCTCCCCCTCCTCCCTCCCTCAGAACACCTGTTCCCCGTGGGGAGGGGGACGGTGGCCTGGAGCCCACACGGAGCAGTCGGGAACAGAGCACCCGGCTCTGTTTTGCATCAACTGACAGCTCAGCTCCTGGGCCGTCTGAGGCCTGTGTCTCCCAGCTGTGGGCTCCCAGCTCCCTTTGAGTCTGGGGCTCCCTGAGAGGCAGACAGTCCCTCCAACAGTGTCCAGTGTAGTGCCCGCTTGGACAGAGACCAAGGACGACCAGCTGTGTGCAGAACCCACTGCCACCAGGGCCTGAGTCTCCGGGTTGAAAGGGTCAGGGTGGGGCCGGTGCTGTGGCACAGTGCTCGAGGGGCCACCTGGGACGCTACTTCCCATACGGCGCTGGCTCCTCTTCTGATCCAGCTCCCTGCTAATGCACCTGGGAAAGCAGAGGGAGGTGGACCAAGTGCTTGGGCCCCTGCACCCACGTGGGGGACCCGGATGGAGCTCCTGGCTCCTGGCGTCTGTCTGGCCCAAACCTGGCTGTTGAGGCCACTTGGGGAGTGAACCAGTGGATGGAGTTCTCTCTCTCTCTCTCTCTGTAACTCTACCTTTCAAATAAATGAATCTTTTTAAAAAATGAAAGAAAGGGTCGGGGTACAGAGCGCTGAGCAACGCTGCTGGCGCTGGAACCCCAGGACTGGCTGAGCCGGAGCTGTGTCGGTCGGGTTCTGGCTCAGGGCGGTGCAGCAGATGCCCTGGTGGCGTCCAGGTCCCTGTGAGGCCGGGTTCTCTCTCAGGGGGACAAGCTCCCTCTCCTGTTCCCCCGCTGGGGTCTTTCTGTCACTTTCGGGCACCGGGCTTTGGTCGCCCTCCTCCGGCTGAGAGTTTTCTGTTGTCCGTGTGTTCACTCACTCACTCATGTGCTCATTTACTAATTCACTCGCCCAGCAAACCCCCGCTTCACGCCTGGGGGACAGGTGCCCGGGGCTGAGGTCTCCAGGAAAGAGCTTGTCCTGCTCTGGGGCTCAGCCTCCTTCCTCTCCTGTCCCCTAGGTGGCCAGCATTCAGAGCCACCCCAGAGCACCGGGCAGGTAAGGAAAGGCCCCGGCAGGGGTGCTGGGTGGTGGGGGAGGGGCACAGAGGGTGCTCTGGAGTGGTCAGTGCTTTCAGCCAGGGGAGGTTCCGGGGGCCGCGACAGACGTAGCAAGTGCTTTCCCAGAGCAAGAACATGACCTGGAGATCTGCTCGTGGGGTCTGTCCCCTCCCCGACGGGGGAAGCGGAAGGGGGAGGGGTCCTCTCCTCCGATCTGCCCGTAGCAGAACATTGGAGGAGGCGGGGCTGGAGCATCGGGGGCTGGGGCACCCAGAATGCAGAGGCAAGGGTGGCGGGAGGTGTGGGCAGAGGAGTGGGGGTGGAGACTGGGGGCCCCACCAAACCCTGCACTTCCTGCTTCGCCCCAGGTGGTTGTGCAGAGTGAGCCCTACTATGCGAATCTGGAGCTGCAGCCACAGCGCCTGCGGGAGGAGTCCCGCGCCCACCAGGCCGGCAGGAGGTGGAATACAGCACCGTGGTAAGTGCCAGAGCCAGAGCTGGACCCTGCACTGAGCAGGGCGTCCCCTGGTGGCTGGAGCAGGCACAGAGGGACATGATCCCTGCCTCCCCAGGGCAGGGCTGTGCAGAGGAGGGGCAGGTGTGTGGTCAGAGCTTGGTGTCATTGCAGCTGCGGGCATGGGGTGGGGATGACAGTGCTACAGAGTGGCCCGAGTCTGCCCCAGGTACTAAGCACCTGCCATGCAGCGCAGACCGAGGTCAAAGTCTGAGATTTCTCTCAGCCTCCATCCCGTCCTGCTGTTCGGTGTGAACTCCGGCCTCCGGGGTTTCGTCCTGGACCTGCTATGTGTGGGTCCCTGCTTAGGCACAGCCGCCTTAAAGTGGGCTAGCACAGCAGGCTGCCGATGAGCCAGCCGTTGGCGGAGGACTTTCCAACAGAGTCAGATACCACGCAGTAGGCTGCCCTGGAGACCCCCACGCCCCTACTGCGGCCCCTGGGCCCACTGAGTCCTCAGACTGCGCTGACTGGCATGAGGGTGACAGACCGCGCTGTCTAAGGCCTGCTTCGGAGAGGAGCTCAGCTCCCAGGGAGTGTCCCCCAGCACTATCCTCCCCAGGGATGCCGTTCCTGCTCCCTGCAGGGGGTGGGGGACCTGCATCCTGCACCGTTCTGGGTCCTGCGATAGCCACGCCCCGCCCTGCCCGCACCCGCCAGCCATCAGCACCAGTGAGCCGAGCGCCTTGGTTTCCTGCAGCGGGGCCTCTGAGGGGCTGGCATGGTCTCGCTACTTCCCGATGGCTGCGGGCCCTGTGTCTGAGGGCCCCTGTGGACTCCCCTTGCTGTGTATAGCCCAGTCCTGTGCCCGCAGCACCGAGGGGCCGTCAGGGCCGCAGAGCCAATGCAGTCGGGCGCTTCTGGGTCCTTGCTGAGCCCGCACGGCGGCTTCACTGCGAGAGCTCCCGTCAAGAGGGGCACAGAGGGAGCCTGGCCAACTCTGTAGACCTGTGGGGGCCCCCGGACCCCTCCTTGTAGAATGGATGGGGCTGGGTCCCCCCAGACCATCCCAGGGACCCCCAACACAGGCGATCTTTGTGCTGTGCCTTGAGCAGGCTGACAGTACAGCAGGGGGAAGTTGGAGCCTCCACCATGGAGCCCCCGGGGGTACCCCCTTCCTTCCTGAGCCGGGCTCTGTCCTTCCCCGCACTCTCCCCCCTAAGCCGCGGCGCCCTCTCCTTGCAGGCCGCCCCCAGGGAAGAACCTCACTACTCCTTGGTGACGTTTGACGGACAGCTTGAGGATTCCAGCATCAGCAGGACGCCCGCCCAGATGGGCTCCAAGCAGGAGCCCGAGTACAGCGTGGTTAGGAAGCCCAAGGGCGGCTCCTGAGCAGACCCCGCCCCCCGCAGCCCCCTCCCCACCATGGCGACTGACAGGCACCTGGACTCCCAGGTGACTCCGGGCAGGATGAGCAGGGCTGGGGTTCTGGGGGCCAGCAGGAAGCCCCCGCCGGCCTCTTCCTCCTGACCCCTGCTTCCTTCAGCTCCTCCCCACTGTGGCTCCAGGGGGTGACAGCTCCTGCAGAGCAGCACCCGCAAAGAGTATCGTCACTCGCAGCTCCGCAGACACGGCCGGGGCTGCCGCGAGTGGGGACGCCGGGCAAGGTTGGAAGGAGAACGCAGAGAAAGAGGCTCGTCCGCACACTGCGGGACACGGGGACACCAAAGAGCCACTGCCGTCCCATCTCACACAAGAAAACTGAGGCCCAGAGAGAGAAGGACCTTGCCCATGGTCCCTGAAAGGAGGCCTTTTCCTCCGGACTCCTAGACAGCTTCAGCAGTTCTATTTTAGTAGAAGAGACATAGACAGGGGCCGGCGCTGTGGCGTCGCGGGTAAAGCTGCCGCCTGCAGTGCCGGCATCCCATGTGGGCGCCTGTTCATGTCCCGGCTGCTCCACTTCCGATCCAGCTCCCTGCTAATGCACCTGGGAAAGCAGTGGAAGATGCCCAAGTGCTTGGGACCCTGCACCCATGTGGGAGACCTAGAAGAAGCTCCTGGCTCCCAGCTTCAGCCTGGCCCAGCCCTGGCCATGGGGGCCATCTGGGGAGTGAACCAGTGGTTGGAAGACCTCTCCCTCCCTCCTTCTCTCCCTCTTTCTATAAAACTCTTTCCAAATAAAAATTTTTTTTTTAAAAATAGGTACAAATAAAGTTTATCTTAATAAGGAAGAAGGGAGAAGTTACTTAAACAACGGCTGCTGTGTGTCTGCAATCATGTATCAAAGCAAGGGGCTGGCGGGGGCCCTGCTGAGCACAGAGGCGCTGGGAGGGCGACCCCGAAGGGGACCCCAACATCAGTGGGAGGTGCTGTCGCAGCTGCTTCCCCACAATGGAAGATGCAGCCGAGGTTTCTCGTTGGATGCAGTGCAGTCGGTGAGCGGGCTGCCCTGCACACGTGGCCACCACCAGCTCCGCCACCACGTTCCCCACCCTCGCGCCGGGCTCGAGATTTCTTTGACCTTCTGTTGTAGTAAGTAACCACCGGAAGTAGGGGCTGTGTTTCCTGTGAGTCCAGGATCTCTGACCTTGTAAGTTGATTGTGGGCCGGCGCCAGCAGCTCACTAGGCTAATTCTCCGCCTTGCGGCGCTGGCATACCGGGTTCTAGTCCCGGTCGGGGCGCCGAATTCTGTCCCGGTTGCCCCTCTTGCAGGCCAGCTCTCTGCTGTGGCCCAGGAGTGCAGTGGAGGATGGCCCAAGTGCTTGGGCCCTGCACCTGCATGGGAGACCAGGAGAAGCACCTGGCTCCTGGCTTCGGATCAGCGCGGTGCGGCCGCAGCAGCCATTTGGGGGGTGAACCAAAGGAAGGAAGACCTTTCTCTCTCTCTCTCACTGTCTAACTCTGCCTGTCAAAAAATAAAAAAGAATAAAAAAGTCAGTTGTGACTTTGGGGCAGTTTTCTGAGGGATGTGGCCCACTGCTTCCAGAAGGATCTTGGGGGTAGGAGGCAGGGACGCTGCTCTGGATGGCGTCCCCTTCACATTTCTAACGGGCCCGTGTGTGCGCCAGCATCAGTCGTCTGGAGACTTTCTCCCTCTTTCTACCAGTGGTCTGAGATGCAAAAGGTAACCGACACACACACACACTCACGCACATGCACGCACACAGACACGCATGCACACACATACATGCACACGGACATGCACACATACATGCACACGCACAAGCAGGGAGGCCCAGCGGGGTGTGGTGCTGGGAAGGGCTGGGTGTCAGCCGCAGGGCCCAGGGGTGGAGTTCACAGAGCCCCAGATGCTCTCAGTTCTCCCCAAGGCTTCTGCTGGGCCCCACCCTCTCTGTCCACCCAAGCCCTAGGCAAGCAGAGGGGACCCTTTCCCATGGGAGGAAGTGGGCCAGCTGGGCCCCCACCTAAGAGACAGAGCTGGGTCCCTGAGCAGGGCGCAGGGAGGAGGGAGGGGATTCTGGGTGTGGGCTGACTCATCTCCGGGAAAGTCTGGTTTCCATCCACACAGCCAAACCTAGCTTCTCCCCTCCTAGGCTCGCAGGGCCGCCTCTCCGCCCTCCTGGGGCAGCGAGAGCAATCTCTAACCTCCACCC